ACCGAAATCCGGCTCGCTATTCCCTGGACGTATTAATTATTTTTTATGAGTCCAGTCAGAGGTCCAATAAATTTTCCCTCCTTTTTAGCGAAGATTTTCTCAATTCGTGTTTACGATACAAAAGAACAAACTCACGTTTAGCTTGCTGTTGAGCAAACTGGTGAAAAAAAGTGTTATATGTACTTGTGAAGATTAGACCGGTGAAAACTCATACCTAGTGTTGTCTGTGTATTGTTCGATTCATCCGTGGTACCCCTTGCTGTATATTGCGCCACTGGAGACTCTGAATATCTCCTGGCAGCGCTCAAGGCTTTAAGGCCCTTAATGCTTCCGGATGAGTGTGATCTGTTAAACTTGCAATTGGCCTTCTCGCTGGGTTCAAGAAACCTCTCGTATTTTTTCTGAAAGCAAATGTTAAGAAAATGCGATTTTACAAGAAGGAAAGAGCACACTCACTCTCAAAGCATCAGGTTAAATTCAGGAGGTTGTATTCGGACCTTTACTCTCTGGAAAACATAGCGACGAGTTCTGTTGTTGTTTAAGTGAGTAATGAAAACTAAACTGGTGTACATGAATAATATTGCTCATTTACCGAAGTTGCCTGAGATTAAAGGTTTAGAGGCTTGGTAAACGAACAACAAAAAATATAAACTGGAGCAAAACAAGACTAAATAACAAAATAAACCACGTTCATTCAGTTAAACGCGCGCAAATGTTTTTATAAGGTTATTGATTAATGGAAAAGCGTTGACACAATAGAGGTCACGCAAACAAAATTACTGTTACTGTATTTAACATTTTAAGAATAAATTCTTTGTAATTTATTATTTATAAAATGAGTAATCGATTGAGTTTTTAAAATGTTATGAGTTTATCAGTTAAAACAAGTTTATTCTTACAATCCAGTTGCTGATAGTGAGTTGTTTGCCCTCCGATTTACATTGTCTTAAAAGTCGACGTTGAATGTTAGGCTTGGAGGGGCTTGGTTGTGTGTTCGGTTGCTGCAGTTTTTTCTGGAGCTGGTTAGCAGCCGAGACGGCCTGGAAACGATATGAAATAACACTGATGTTTATCTTGATTGTATATGAACTTAAGCCGTCGTAATTTGTGTTAAATCATCCAACTCGTTAAATGCTATGTGAAACGTTATGTGAAACGGTAAGTGAGACGTTATATGAAACGTTATGTGAAACGGTTTGTGAAAGATTATGTGAAACGAAATGTGAAACGTTATGTGAACCGTTGTGTGAAACGTTATGTGAAACTGGGATAAACATTTAACTCTCTTGTGGAATTAATCATTAATGTCACTAACTAGTTTATTAACCTATCAAGCATAAAGACTCTGCTGGTGAAAAGAAATAGCTCTAAAATTAATTTTAAATTTATTAAAAAGAAATTGTAAATGATTGTTCTAGAAGTTTGTCAGTACATTAAGATTCACTCAGACAATCGTAAATTGTACCATATATTTCAATGCTTGTTACTTCTGCAGTTCCTCTGTGCTCAGGATTAGCTGAAATAAGTATCTATAATCCGCAATGTGGCTACGCCGGACCCCACCCCTCTTGGGATTGTTGTTGAATGTTATTACCCAGTACTTACCGTGTCACTAACCGAGGGTACCAGAGGACGATGGGAAGTACTTCCTGGGTAAGTCGTTTCTGAGCCCTCTGTCCGTGATTGAGAGCAGCTAGAATTGTCATGGTTCTTCAAACTTGTTATATCATCTCCTTGTAGTATACGATACTGTTTCTCAAACTAAAAAAGTAAAGCCCCAAAATATTATTGCAGATCGAATACAAATTGGAACTTGGAGACAGTTTTAAAAGTGTTTTTTTTTT